AAAATTATCTAAACACACATTTTGATCATCTTCCCTCACGTCAGATTAAATTTAATGTAGTGAAGTCGATCTGACAACAAACTACAATTTCTTTTTCAAGTTCGATGCATTAAAAGACAAGAAATCTTTCAATGAAAAAAGTTTTCTAACAGTCTTATAAATTAGATAAAAGAACTAAAAATAAAAATGAGATATAATTATTTTTTTTACTAAATGTCATGCCAGATTTTTTATTTTGTTTCTTTGATATCTCGATAGTTATAAGAGTTTTTACCAATGATTTTTCTGTCAGTTTTAGCTGACTACACAGTGAATTTATGGTAAAAATTTCAGCTCTTAAATATGTAGCATTCACGAGAAAACAGTGCTTTATTCGAGAAATGTCACATCGGATTAAGATAACAGATGTTTTAAGAAAACTTTAGTAAGTTCCATCTTCTTTGATTTGAATCGATTCATCTGTGACCAAAGATGTTTTCAGACATTTATTAATAATTCTAAATACTCCCGATGATCAATAGATTATACTTTTAGATCATTCACTACTACTAGAGACCATCGGGTAGAACCCAGAATTGGACCATTCATATACCTCGAAAGACCAAATTTTTTCCTAAACGAAAAACCTGCAGATTGGGAAAAATAGTTCATTTCTATACAATAAATAGAGTTTTATCGTATGTACAGTTCGCTTTTTTAATCCATATTCACTCTTATTTTTTTTCGATTTTTTCCATCAAATTGTACAATACAAGTGCAATTTAAGATTAAAAGCAATAATTATCGATGAAAAAATATCAGAGATAAAGAAAAAAAAGAGTAGAATGTTCATTTATGAATTAATTAGTCTATTCTTCATTGACATGATATTTTTGTCATTGAGGTCATTCATTCATTTCATTGAATGGCAAATCAACAATGAACGCATATGTATATATATATATATGCATCATAAGAAGTGTCAGTCAAAATCAATATGCATCAGTATAAGGTTAATCTTCTTGATCTACCTACTGAAGTATTACATATCATTTTAAAAAAGCTTGATAACATGGATGTTCTTTATTCATTATTTGCTATTAATAATCAACGACTTGACAACATAATACAAGAAAATACTTTCACTAATACTCTCAATTTTGTATTAATAACAGCAACCGATGATATTTTATCAGTTTGTGATCGCGTACTCGATCGATTCTGCTTAAATTTATTACCAAAAATTCATAATAATGTTAAATCCCTTATTCTTAATTCATTATCTATGGAACATATTCTTCTTGCTGGTGATTATCCTAATTTAAGTGAACTTAAAATCTTCAATTTTAATATTAAAACAGCTTTACATTATTTTACACGTAAATAATTTGTATACTAATCTAAATAATGATTTCGGTAAACTAGGTAATATCTATTTTTTATTTAGATGAATCCCCATTTCGACATATTTTTCAACGACAAATCACAGATCTTATTCTTGTATTTGAAAATAATTTTAATAAATTATCATGTACACATTATATGACATATGTTTATGGATATATAATGAAATACTTCGAAAATCTACATCATTTATCTATTCAAGGATCATATCCTAGATATTTTCCACCTTTAGAACTTTGTGATTTACCTTTAACTACTTGTTACTCTTCAAATCTTTGCAAATTATCTATTCGTGTATTGTATTATCATGATCTTCTTGCTTTACTTGATGGTCGTCTCAAACAACTAAATACATTGAATGTTGTCATTGTCCAACAGGAATGTAATTCAACGAATGTTTACAATGTGGTACGTTTAAATTTCATTAGATTAATCTTTTTTTTCATGAGCTGATTAATGAAAATTTTCATGATTTAACTAAAGCAAATAGTCACATTTATGGGACGGAGAAATATTATTAAAATAAATAAAATACTAATACAACTTGTTTTCATTTATATTTTCTAGAATCTATCTCATTTGAAATGTTTTTCTTTACAATATGATTGTTCATATGATGCATATGATGGTGAAATTTTACCTCTTTTACAACGTATGTCAAATATTGAAGTATTAAATTTAAATCTTATTATTGGTAGTCCAGCTCGATTTATTGATGGTAAAAATATTTATGATGAAATTCTTATTCATGTACCACGACTTCATACATTTAACTTTTGTTTTTTAATTTTTACTCTATTGAATCATTCCGTTCAACATTTATATAAAGATGATATTCTACAAACTTTTACTAACGTTATAGTTAAACAAGTGGAGTGTATGATCAAGTATCGACGTTATAATGGTTTGAAATATCATTTATTCTCATTACCATTTATGTTTGATAATCTTCAATGTATTGGTAATGGATTTTCAAATATTATTTTCAATTATGTTATAAGATTAGTGGTTGATGATGACATTCCATTCGAACATGAATTTTTCATGCGTGTTGCTTGCTGTTTTCCTTTACTTAAAGTATTAAGTATTTCTAATTCTATGCCACAGTCACCAATATTAAATTCTAATGATAATCAGTTACATTCAACAACTATTGAATATCCTTATCTTATTTCACTTTGTTTTTCATTGGCTCATTGTGATTATGTCGAACAATTTCTTAATGATAAAAAAACACATCTACCACGTCTAACTGTATTATCAGTAAATTACTATCATTTAAGAAACGTAACGAAAAACTTTACAAATGATAGAACCCGACTAAGTTGTATGAAGGTGAAAGAATTAGATATAGGTCGTAAAAAAATTGTATATTCAAAAGATTTCCATACTTATTTTCCTTTGTTGTAACTTTATCTTTTTTTGATTAGCTTAATAAAATGAATAATGAAAATATATTAGTAGAATTTTTGCAATTGAACCATACCAAACAACAATCATTAATTATATATGCTGATTAACTGTGGAGGTTTTCTTTTTTCTGGAAAAAAGTTCTCAAACGGTCAAGAGTAAAACAACGAGGAAGAAAAAATTTAGATATATTCGGTATTTTATCATCATTCGTAAGATTCAATGATATCACTCGGTCAATAATTTTAGGAAAATATTCTTGACATATAAATGTCAAAATAAGAGTTGTTGTCAAATCGAAAATGTAAGAAAAGAATGTTGTCAAAACGAAAATTGGGCTCAGAAAAAGCAAATCAAACTTAAAAGCATGCAAATATTCAAATTAATGAATAGCTTGTTGGTTAATATTTCGAAAGTAATTTTAGTATTTTTTTTACGTGGGAGAATTATATTAGCAATTCTTTTTATTTATTGAAAAGAAAAAATTAATGTCCATATACGACAAAATAAAATATATAACATAAACAAATAAATAACTACCACCATAAATATATATCAGAGTTAATAAATTTAATAAAATAATCTCTACATAAATTTTGAAATTTAATTAACATATCTAATTCTCGTAAATACATTTTAGGTATTTCTTTAATACATAAAAAGAACAATTGATTTGTTTTCATATTAGTTTTTGATAATAAAAAAGTTAAAATTTGTTTAATTTCTTTTTTATTCATTCCACCCACGGAAAAATTTTTGAACAAAAATCGCGAGAAACCGCGGTTTCACAAACTACGGTAATCAACGGTTTTCTGAAACCGCGAAAGTCAGACCTTTTATGCGGTTTTTGAAAACCGCCAAAAATCGCGGTAATTTCACACCACGGTTTTCACCGGTATCCAAAGCCGCATAAAAGGTCTGACTTTCGCGGTTTCGAAAAACCATTGATTACCGCGGTCTGGAAAAACCGCATTAAAGGTCTGACTTTTGCGGTTTATTCAAGCGGTGATGACCGCAGTGTACCAATACCGGAGTTTTTGGTGGTTTTAAAAAACCGAATAAAAGGTCTGACTTTCGCGGTTTTCTGGAACCGCTAGAAAACGCGGCTTCCATGACCATACCTGATTCAGGTATGATCAGACTCACCTGAACTTATGATAAAGTTCCGATGAGCGACCCTTCAAGGGGTCTGTAGTGAACTTTAGAAGTTCCATTACCACAAAGTTACTTTGTAGTGAGAGATAGAATAAGAAAACTTATGCAAAATTTTCATGAAAATAGCGGGGCACGACATCCTCTTCGTCCTTACACATTCCATCGCGATGGTTTAAGCACCAAAAATGCCGCGGTTTCTCTGCTGAAAAACGCGGTAATAAAAAACGCGATTATTCGATGGCATACCGCGGTTTCTGAAACCGCTGAATGCTGTGGTATTTGCCACCGCAGTTACTAATGACTATACCGCGGTTTTATAAACCATTGAATACCGTATTATTTATCACCGCGGTTACTGATGGTTACACCGCGGTTTTAGAAACCGCTGAATATCGCGGTATTTATTACCGCAATAAATAATGACTATACCGCAGTTTTTGAAATCGCTCAATACCGCCCTTATTAACCACCGCGACTACTGATGACTATACAGAGGTTTTAGAAACCGCTAGATACCGCGGTGTTTATCACCGCAATTACCGATGACTGTACCGCGGTTTTAGAAACCGTTCAATGCCGCGGTATTTACCACCGCGGCTATTAGTGACTATACCGCGTTTTTGAAAACCACTCAATACCGCGATGTTTACCACCGCGAGTATTGATGACTATACCGCGGTTTCTGAAACCACTAAATACTGCGGTATTTATTACCGCAATAACTAATGACTATATCGCAATTTTTGAAACCGCTCAGTACCGCCCTACTTACCACCACGGTTACCGATGAATATACCGCAGTTTAAAAAACCACTCAATACTGCGGTATTTATCATCTCGGTTACTGATGACTATACCGCGGTTTTGAAAACCGTTGAATATCGTGCTATGAAATACCGCGGTTTCCAATTACCATACCGCGACTTTTTAGACCGTTGAACACCGCGGTATTTAGAACCGCGATCATGAATACGAGCAACGCGGTTTCAGAAAACCGCGGTTCAAAAAAACCGCTACCAACCGCGGTTATCCAATCCAAACCGCGGTTTCCTCTAGTAAAACCGCGGTCGAATGAAAAAAATCGCGGTTTTGAGCGGTTTTTCGAAAAAAATTTTTCCGTGGGCAGTTTGAAGATATTGTAATTGAGGAAATAAATTAACTAGCATTTTAATTTCTTCCAATGTACATGTTTCACGAATATCTAAACGTTTGACTTTGTTTATATTTGATAAATGAAGAAATTCTTCCTTTTGTTGAATTGATGTTGCCGTATTTTGATGAAAACATATCAAATCATATTTTAATGTATATAAATTAGATGTACAACGTAACAAATCAATTAATTCTTCGAAATAAAAATCGTAAGGTTCAACAACTAATTTAGTAATTTGCTTTAATGCAACAATTCGGCTAAGAGTTTTTGATACTGGATCAACAGATATTTGAAAAGAATTTGTAATAGTTAATTCAGTAACATTAGAAAAATAATTTATACAAATATCTGATATTGCATTACTACAAATATGAAGATGTTTAACCGAGTTTAAATTATTTTCTTGAATATATGAACAAACTTGTTCATCAAATTCCCAATAAAATGTATAGTCTTTTCTTCTAGAAAAGAAAACGAATAGAAAGCTAATATAAAATCGAATGAATCTATTTTTACCGATATGGATTTGTTGAATAAAATATTCCACTTTTAACAGTTTCTTGTCAATAATGTTGATGAGTAAAACATCATTTTTTTTTCAATATAAAATGACGAATTAAATTGATTAATTAAATTATGATATGTTAGTTGATGAATTTGTTCAGAACCTTCATGATTTATATCAAATACACGTAGATTTGGCATGTAAGATACTATTAATTGTTCCCATTTTTTTTGCATCAAAATATGTAAAATCAGCTTTTATTGTAAGACGTAGAACTTCGACGTAATAAAAGAAATTTTTTATGAATTTTTCCAGCTGATCAAAAGAAACTAAATCAAGCTCAAGTGAAATATATTTTAAATTTTTTAATACGATAGGATAGAATTCTATATGTTGTAAATCAAATCCATTAAGATAATTAATTGATAAATGTCGAAGTTGTTGTAAATATGATAATAAGTTATTAAGTGATTGAAGTCGAAAATAATGATTAATAACAAGACATTCAATTGGACTAAATATATCAGTAGATTTAGGTAATAATTCTACATCATCTTTTGATTCGAATTTAATTTTACAATATTTCAATTTAGGTAAACGAAGTATACGAATATAATAGAGAGTTGAATTTTGAATATAACCAATGTTATTAATAGTTAATGAATGTAATTTTGGTAAAATAATTAAATGATCAGCAACATTATTTAAAGATTGTGCACTGATATTATCGAGAATTAATGTTTCAAGTTGAAGAAATGTTGAAATAAGCCATGGTTGTGAAAAAACAATACCACCCAGGTCGAAAAGTACCGGCCGGTTCCGGCAGGAACACACCGGAAATCAACGGAACATGGAAGCAGTATTCCGGCCGGAAATTTTTCGGATTTTTTCCGGTGGATTCCAGCCAATTCCTGTTCTTTCCGGCAGGAACCGGCCGGAAATTTTTCGGACTTTTTCCGGCCGGAATACTGCTTCCATGTTCCGTTGATTTCCGGTGTTTTCCTGCAGGAACCGGCGATTTTTCCACGTATTTCCTGCCGGTTCCTGCAGTATCCGGTGACCGGAACGATCGACCTGGGCAATAGTAAATGGATTTGTTAATCGAAGAATATTTATTCGATGCATATTGGGAAGAATTATATTATTATAATACCATTCAAAATTTGATTTAGACATTGTTGAAATACTTATATGAATTGGAACGTTTGAATGTATAAGTAAATTTTGAAATCGTGTATTAAGATTAAAAAATCCTTCATAGACATGGTAAATATCCATATATTTCATAAAACGCTTCATTTGCTAAATCTTCTAAACAACATCTGAATTAAATAAAAGAAAATCATTAGATGATAAAATAGGTATATAGATAACTGACGTCTTTGAATAAACTAAAAAATAAAAGAAAAACAAAACAAAATAAAATTTTTTGATCTAAGTATAAAATCTTACTTGTATTTCGTAATTTTTGTTTTTTATTTTCGTGATGACGGCGAATTATCTCGTCTTGTTGTCTTTTTGTTCGTTCCATACTTACAACCAACGATGATCCATATTGAAAATGACAACAATGAACAGACAGAAACATGGATAATAGGTAAAAATATGGAATACGTAATTCGCTCTGATTTGATATCGATATTACAAAAGAAAAATAGCTGACCGAAAAGAAAGTAGTAAACAAATCGAATATGATTCATCATTTCTATCAAATTCTTTTCAGATTATTATTGCATTATAAATAGTGAATTAATTGATCAATTTACTTTTATCTTATTAGTGATAAATACTTTTTTCGTTTCTAACCGATTGATAATCTATCCATCTATTGAGTCAATTGTTAAGACTATATCAGTGCCGTTGTTATCAATTGAACTTACCTGATAAAAATAATTGTCTCTTCTGCAAATAATGCAAAACAATATATTAATATTGTTCATTTGATCAAATAAAAAGGTTTTCCTTTCAACTTAACATCAAAATCGAAGAGATAATTTTGTATTTCGATTGAAAACAATCAAATCGTTAAAGTACTAAAAGACTTTACATAAAAGCATTTTTGAAAACTAAACGGTATACTTGTAGAAATTCTAAAGAATCTCTTTTCAGATTTTTTTTCTTGAAATGATTAGACTTTTCAAAAACATCATCCCATTTTAGTTAGCGATGTGAAAGAATATGAATCTACATTCTGCTGACTATCGTATTCATGTCATTCATGTCAATAATTTTGCAAACTACATTTTGTGTTTAAGATACTTGATTAAATTACAAATGATAAAGATCCTTCATTTCAGTTATATTATGATGTTTTAGAAATTTCTCTTGCGAGTATGTGACATATAAAACTATACCATAATCATTGCACTTCTACTTTGATAATAAGGAATCATACTGTAGTTTTTTAAAGTTCCAACAATTATTGTAATTTTCATGTATGAGTTTCTTACACCCTTAAGATCAATATTAAATGTAGTTTTTTTCTTTTTAGTTTTTGTTTCAATATCTTTTTTTATTAGGTTTGGTTTAGTTTTTGATGCATTTATATTGATTCGAGATGCTTGTTTTAATTCTCGATGTAAAATGGACCATTCTAGAAGAATTAATTTGATTTTTTTATTTTCTTCTGATAAATATCAAATGAATTTAACCTTCTTTCCATTTATTTAAAATGAAATTTTTTTCATGATCATCTTTTTTTGGATCATGTAAAGTTCGAAAACTTGAATTAAAATTTAATTTAAGTTTTAATTTATAATCATAATCATTTATTGGATTTTCAATTAATGGATGTGGTGTATTGAGTAATTCCTTTTAAAACAATACTAAATAAATATCAAAGTGATCTTTTCACGTATGAATTAAATAATTATATATACCGGATATACAGGTGATGGTTCAGTTACAGTAGCTGGTAAACTATCTTTGGCTAATCTTAATATATCGATGGTAAAAGATGCATGACCACGACCAAAAGCCATTTATGATGAAATAAACGTCAATGAAAACGACACTTATGTAAATCAATTAATTTGAACACAGCAAAGAAACATTTTGGAACAGATTTTCGATCGATGTTATCAAAGGAAAAAATCCGATTTAACAGAGGGCACTAGTGATCGAAAAAACATATATATGATCATATAATTATTAAATGAGTTAACTATGGAGAAAAGGTCATTAGGATGAGGATGAATGTTGTGACGAAATAATCAATGAAGGTAAGAAAGATAAGATCCATTCTTCATTCACATTCACTCATACCAAAAATAATCAATTTTTGTCATGTTTAAATGTATTTCCGATAGAGAAGAAAATAGAGATTATACAGATTGCAATATATTAACACGATAATGAAATGATAGAGTATGATTCGAAGTTGACTACTTGTGAAATTTTTCCTAGAGTGAACAAGAACCTGTTAAAAATAGAAAAAGTCTACAATGAGTTATCTACTTTGATCTTTCTTCTCAAAATATAGTCAACATACTAAAATTTTCGCTTATATTACATAATATCTCATTCAATATCGAATATTGAAATTTTTTTATCTAAAACATTGTCCGCAAAAATATTTCAACATTATTGAAAATTAGAATTTTTGATTCGATAAAATTTCAGCTGAAGAACTCTAATGTTGGGATTGTTCTGATGTGTTGTGATACTTTATGAAAAGAATTTAATTAGGACACCAAAGTTTATATTACTTATATAAATCTAATCCATCATTTTGTCAAAAGAATGTCTCTACCTACACTGAGGATGTTAAGAAAAAAAGGAATGATAATAAATATTACATCCTGTAAAAAAAAATAAAAATTGTCTGCTAATCACCATGACATTGCTATACATGATCTCATCGTTCAAAATGAAATCTTTATCAGTCATTTCCGTAGTCTTATGTTTCATGAAGCCACATTGAGTAGTCATTATGTGAAATAGGGAATGCTAATTATATTTTTGTAGTTAATAGAAGTAGAGCAAAAAGAAGAAAAAAATGTCGTTTTAAAGGTGTGTCTGATATTGACAGAGAATATTCTATATGCACATTTGTTTATCTTGACAAGAACATATGACCTTGTAATACGACAGTTAATATATATCAATTTGAAATAGAGAATAAGAAAAAATATGTTCGCAATGGGCAGTATTTTGAGGTCAATATTTTTTACATAATTGATCGGTTTTTGATATATCAGGTACATTATGACAACCCTTGTATGAATACATATAGTTTCTGTTGTTTTACAAAAAAAAAACAGTTCTTGGTTATTCTCATATTCATCTTTGATTTGTCAATCTTTGACGTTGAATCTGCTTAGAATCTCACATCAAAAGAGTATTAAAAAGAACTATTTTTAGATAATAGATGAGATGTTTTTTCAATAGAAAATTATATTTCAGTCAAATGATTATATTCAATTTATAAGTTACCCACATATGTCATAAAAATGAGCCTGGATTTTTCTTCATAAACAGTATTTACTAAACACTGTTATCAGAACTACGTACTTCCGATTCATCACTTGTAATAATCTATTGACGAGCCACATGTATTTTTTCGTTTTTTTTCATATTTAATAATAATATACCTTTTGTATTCAGTTATGACAGATAGTATAAACTAGTACATATCATTTTCTATGTTCGAGCTATAAGGAATAAAAAGTTTTGACAACACATATCGTGTAAGACAAGGATGCCACCATTCAATTTCTTCTGATGGATAAGACAGCGAAATTCCGGTTCTGACAAAGTTCATTTTCTATATAAAACAAATAATATATGATTTTAATATCTTATCAATTATTTTTTTAAATGTTTCAATATATATATATATATATATTTATGCATTTTCGTCTTTTTTTTGTATAAAATAAAAGTAATAGTATTATTTTTCCAAAGCAGAACAAGAATACAGAAAAAAAAAATTGCGCAAGAAAAACAAAATTTAAGAAGACAAAATGCTGCGTAGAAAGCATACACAAAAACAAACAACCAAACAAGAACAAAAAACGAAAAAAAATGATCATATTTTATTTTATTTTTCCTTGGTGGCGAAACCGGTTGTGAGCATTGTAACATGTTGGTTTCAAAGTTCACCGTCATATGTCTGTACAAATGACTGTTCATTAGAATATATGCATATATATATATATAAGAATTCTTCAAAACATATACACACAAAACAAACAAATAAACAAATATAAGGTTTCTCTATTTTTTTTCTTTTCTCATGTCTAGATGTGTATCACAGCATATCACACGGCTGCTGCTTCAGGACCGCCGCTAACTCTCAAATGAGATCCGGTATAGTGTTGATGATTATGTAATGTTGGTGGCTGTAAATGACTATCACCATATAGATTTTCTAAATATTCTTGTCGTCGAATTTTTTCATTTAAACCTCGACAACGACAATAAATTATTTCACGAAATGGTGTTCGAAATTCTCGATTAAATTTGGAATAAATTAATGGATTTAACATTGATGATGAATAACCAAACCAGAGTAAAACTGGATCAATCCATTCAGGAGCATTCAATGATCGTGGTGAACCTGTTAAACGTGTTATATATTCGTGTAACGGTTTTATAATTGCAAATAACATAAATGGAAGCCAACAAACAATAAATGTACCTAAGATAACGCCAAGTGTACGTATGGCTTTTTGATTTGGTAAATGAACATGACGAAAAAATGAATAACGTCGTGTAACAAATACTGATAAACGACCATTAAATGGCGTACTTATTCGTCTACCTAAACATCTTGATGGAGATAAAAAACTAGGAGATTTACTTCCACTTGACTTATTTTTTGAATGTCTCAATGAACGTTTTCCACCATGTCGTTGTTCGATACCTGACGCTGATGAACCATCTTCATTTTGATTTGAATTATTAGTATTATTTGCATTAGATACATTTAATAATGACTGCGGGTTTGAACAAGTATTACCATTTAATTGTTGTTGAGAATGTGGTCCAGTTACATTTCCTGGTCCGACATTTGTCGAAGAATTATTATGCGTTAAAAATTGTGACATTTGAACACTTGAACGATTATCCATTGCTGTTTGCGCTGTTCGATATATATTTGCATATATTATAAGTACAACAATAAGGGGAATGTAAAATGAAAGCATAGTTGCAAATATTTGATATTCCAATTTATTATTTACTTGACATGTCGGAAGATTTACCGAAGGACCTTCAAAGTATAAAAACAAAATGCAGTATAAATTAATTACAAGATTATTTTTAATAGTTAAGTGGTGGGCTATGTTCTCGATAATATCTAAGATATATTCATTAGATCCGACAAATAAAGTATTGAAGTCTAGAATATTGGACTCTCATTGTTCACCCTAGACTCATCTGAAGAAGGAAGAGAAAAGTTATTTATACGTACGTCCCCAGCCTAAAATAGGCGGTAATGAAACAAGCGCACTAAGTATCCAAACACCGGCTATCATTAATGAAAGTAATTTGACTTTACGCATGGGAGCATATTTAAATGGATGATTAATGATACAATAACGATCGATTGAAATAACGAGAAAATTCAATATTGACGATGTACATAGAAGAACATCAGTTGATGTCCATATGTCACACATAACCGAACCTAAAATCCATTTGTTATTGGAAATTTCGAGCACTATAATAAAATAACAAAAAAAAATCTACTAGACGAAAAAATAATCATTTTTGATTTTTGATTTTACCCATTGCTAATGGCATAATAAATAAGCCGACTAATACGTCACTAACAGCCAGACTAACAATAAGTATATTTGATGCTGTTCGTAATTTTCTTACAAGACAAACAGCTAGTATAACAACAAGATTTCCAACTATTGTTATAATACTCATTAACGAACAAATAATAATAATTAGAACTAAATGCGCTATACTACGATGTTCTTTTTGAGAAATTTTTCCATTTGCATTAGTATTATTATCAAGTTTATTTGTTGTTGTAATTGATACTGACGTGATTGTTGTTGATATTGATGATGATGGTGTAGCTGTTGGTAACAGTCGTCGTCGAGGTGTACTAAATATTGTAGAGGAATTATTTGTGAATATAATAGAAGATGATGGTGGATTTCTTTGCTGTTGAACAGCAGCCACGGATGAAAATAATGAAATAATTGATAATAACGAAATAAATATTGATGCACGTTTTGAATAAACTGTCGGCTGTAAGAAAGAGGACGACAGCCGACAGATACGACGGCTGTGTAAAAACGCCAATGTCGACTCTAAATAAACAATAAGTAAGAACTAGTTTATTTTCATATCATGACTTTTAATATATGTTTCATATAGAAGAAAAATCCTTTTTTTTTTTTTGAGAAGCAAATTAATATTAATTTGATGCTTCAATGGTTTCTTTTTTTTTTCCTTCTTTTCAATAGATGGTTATAAAGACGTCTACCGGAAATATGCTCAATTTTTTTTCCTTCTCTCAATATTCTTTATTGTCAACACCGGAGATTACTTTTATATATAAAAATATACCGTTCAAAATGATGAAATTTATATGGATAAGATTACAAAAAAAGCTTCTTGATGTCATCTTAGAAATGAAATGAAATACTATTGAAATCATTGGTCACCTGACTATATAATAAACTACGCTTATGAAGCAAACTAACTGTCAAATGGAATACATTGTTCTAAATTTTTTTTTCTTTTTCTTTCGGTTCCTGTTCTTTATGCTTACATATATTCACCTTGATAAAAGAAGAGAAAGTAACGTTTGCTTGACACTCACCTACTTGCATATAATACGATATTCACTTTTGTATTAATTATCGTTTCTTTTTTTTCCATACCGCATTATGAGTATAAATGATGCAAAATACATTTGTTTCTTATTTTATACTCATCCATGCGCACATACAATCGTATATTGATGAAAAAAAAAAGATTATTTTCGTCCTTATATTTTGTTTGCATATAAAGCGAG